AACTTATCAAGATAAACTATCTTGAATAGGAAATCTGGAAATTATGCTCGAAATTAAATTATTGAGCAAGTTACCTCGCACACACCGGCCATGTTGCGAGTTAATAATAATTGCACATGTAACCATCTCATAGATGCATCTTATGTGGTATACATGGCAGGTGAATGGGCCCATATTCACCTTTGATATTTTCAGCATTCATGGGATTCAATCCCAATTTTAGTTGGTCAATTAATTAATGAGAACACAAATTATAAGAGAATTCGTAAAGAACTTTCTAGTTCTTTAATATTTACCCATGTGAATTCTCGTTTATTTTTGCACATGATGCTTAAATTAATATGGCTAAACCAATTATGCCAACTGAATAAATTATCAATTGTAACGACCCGACCGGTCGTTTTGAGCTTTTGCACTTTGATCTCCAGTTCCCGGGCATGACTTGCCCCGTGTAATGTATTATGACTGATGTAGATCGTTGGTTTTGGTTTTCAGGAGAATCGGGATGAATTTGAAGGAACAGTCTCTGTTGAAAGCTTCGAATTTGAAAGGTTTGACCAAGGGTTGACTTATTTGTATATGATCTCGGATCGTAGATTCTATGATTTGGTTAGCTTCGTTAGGTTATTTGTGACTTAGGAGCGTGATCGAAATTGATTTTGGACGTCCGGTGTAGAATTAGGCTTGAATTGGCGAAGTTAGTATTTTGGCGATTTCCGGTTGATAGGTGAGATTTTGATCCGAGGGTCGGAATGGAATTCCGAGAGTTGCAGTAGCTTTGTTAGGTGATTTGGGATGTGTGTGCAAAATTTCAGGTCATTCGGACGTGGTTTGGTTGGATTTTTGATCAAAAACGGAATTTGGAAGTTCTTGAAATTCTTAGGCTTGAATCCGATGCAAATTTGGTGTTTTAATGTTGTTTTGAGCGTTCCGAAGGTTGGAACAAGTTTGAATAATGTTATGGGATATGTTGGCGTGTTTGGTTGAGGTCCCGAGGGCCTCGGGTGTGTTTCGGGGTGGTTTCAGATCATTTTGGGCTGTTTTGCAATAGCTGAAGCGGGTATCTGGTATTGTTCTTCGTGTCCGCGAGGGTCCCCTCGCGTTCGCGAAGAAGGATTTGGCTTCTGGGATTTTGTTCTTCGCGTTCGCGAAGAGCGACTCGCGTTCGCGAAGAAGAAGAAATTCTGTTGCGCAGGTCTTATTTCGGAGGCTCGTATCTCTCAATCTACAATGAATTTTGAGATGATTCAAGAACAAAAGTTGTAGCTCTTTGAATCTAGTTTGCAGAAACATATTATAATAGTTATTTGGACATCTGAAGCAAAAGTTATTGCCATTGTACTAGAGGCTGTCCGAGAAGAGTTTGAAAAATGACTTTTGGAAATTTTTTTCTTCGCGAACGCGAAAGGAGGACCGCGAACGCGAAGAACAAATCCCTGGGCAGCAGAATAAAGTCCATACTCGTCTCACTCTTCCATTTTTGGACCAAGGGAGCTCGGGTGAGGCGATTTTTCGAGATATTTTCAAGAAAAACATCGGGGTAAGTGTTCTTAACTCAATTTTGGTTAGATTACCCGAATCCATTGTTATTTTTAACATGTAATTAGTGATTTTAAGTTGGAAAAATTTGAAAACCCTCTTGGATATATTTGAGGATTTGAGGGTCGAAATATTATCAGAAATTAGTACTTTTGGTATGTATAAACTCGTGAGGAGATAAGGAACCCGTTGATGCGAAAATTTCTGAGTTTCGAGAAGTGGGCCCGGGGCTTGGGTTTTGCCAATTTCGATATTTTTAATAATTTTTGACTGTTTTCGATTGGGTATTGTCCCATTGGCATATTGTGACGTATTCGTTCTGGTTTTGGATAGATTCGACGCGCGTGGAGGCCGATTTGAGGGGCAAAGGCGTCGCGAGCTAGAGATTTCGCCGGTTCGAGGTGAGTAATGATTGTAAATGATATCCTGAGGGTTTGAAACCCCGGATTGCACACCGTAGTGCTATATTGAGGTGACTTGCACGCCGGATATCGAGCGTGGGGTAGAGCACCGTTGGGGGATTGTGACTTGGTCCGTCCCGATTGATGATTTTACCGCGTATTTGACTGAAACTTATTTGTTATTATCATGATTTGGGCTGATTGCCATATTTGGGCTTCGTGCCAATTATCTGAACCCTTCGGGGTTTATCACTGTTTCCTCTCTATTTTGATATACTACTTGAACTCAGTCCTGTTGATTATACTGTTTTACAAACTCAGCCGCTTTAATTGAACTTTGAGACTTAAATGATATTTCCACTGTTGTTTGGGCTGAGCACTACTATTTTATTGATACCCGAGGGGCTTATGATGTTTTCTGGACTGAGTGAGGCCGAGGGCCATATGTGAGGATATGTTGAGTGATGTGAGGAGGCTTCCAGGCCTTGTGAGTGATGTGAGGAGGCTTTCAGGCCTCGTGAGTGATGTGAGGAGGCTTTCAGGCCTTGTGAGTGATGTGAGGAGGCTTTCAGGCCTTGTGAGTGATGTGAGGAGGCTTTCAGGCCTTGTGAGTGATGTGAGAAGGCTTTCAGGCCTTATGTTATTTGCCACGAGGTGGCTTGATATTGCGCTGGACCGTAAGGGGCCCCTCTCGGAGTTTGCACACCCCCAGTGAGCGCCGTCGACGATATATGGATCGGGCTGCACGCCGCAGCGAGATGTGGATCGGGCTGCACGCCGCAGAGGTTACTATATGATACTGTTCTGAGAGTGATCTGAGAGAGAGAGCCCGAGGGGCTGAGAGTGTTTCTGAGAGTGAGCCCGAGGGGCTGGTACTGTTTTGAGATATTGCCCGAGGGGCCAACTTTTACGTGCTCATCTTGCATAATTACTTGCCTTTTTACCTGTTATACTACGGTATTTGTGCCCGAGGGGCGAATTTTTTTCTGTGCTTATCAGCACTAACTGTTTTGAAATCGTTTCGTAACTGTTGAAAAGATCATTTTCGAAAGAGATTTAAACTGAGCCAATATATTTCTAAAGATTTCACAGCTTCACTGTTTTCTCAAAGGATTGTACCCTGCTTCTATATAGCATGTTGGTTGCCTTACGTGATTTCTTACTGCTCAGTTGTTATTTACCTTTATTACTCACTGAGTTGGAGTACTCACTTTACTCCCTGCACCTCGTGTGCAGTTGCAGGTATTTATTCACCCGGTAGCGGGTATTGGCTGTTTGGAGGCAGAGCTGTAGTAGTCTAGCGAGGTGTCTGCCAGCGTTCGCAGCACCGTTTCTTTCTATGTTCTTCATTATTCCTGTTCAGTGTATTTCTAGACTTGTAATTGTAATTACATTCTTATAGATGCTCGTGACTTGTGACACCCCGATTAGGGCTGTGTTGGGTTCTATTTCCGCTAATTAATACTATTAAGTCATATTTAAGCTGTTTAATTATGGTTAACTACTTTTGAAAAGACGAGTTGAGTTAGTTGGCTGGCCTCGTCTTCACGATGTTATCATCAAAATTAATACGTAATACTTTGAAGAAACCAAAATAACTATTAATCAAAGAGCATTTACTTGTGGTAATCTTATTCTTGTACAGGAAAGAAATTGCTGGTGAAGATCCAAACAAATAGGGGAAAGAGAATATCATGTGAAGAATTCATCAAGGAAGATTATTTTCAGAGATTTAATCTAGAAGGAATAATATTTGAAAGTGAAATTTCAAATATTGAATGGCTTACTACAATATCAGAAGAAAAATCTATGGAACTTATGGATGGAAAGCTCTTCAAAGGAAAGTTGCTAAAATCATGGAGAAGATCTATTATTTTATGGAAGGAAGATACTACATGGAAAAGATACTACAAGACCAAGGAAGAATATATTTTCTATGGAAAGAAAATATATTATGGATGTAGTACAATTTATATTATGGAAAGATATTATTTTCCAAGATCAAGAAAGGAATATTTTCAATATAATGGGAGAAGAATATATTTTCTATGGAAAGAAAATATATTATGGGTATAGTAAAATCTATCTTATGGAAAGAGATTATTTTTCAAGACCTACTAAAAGAACCTTGTGAATTATGGAAGAATGCTCCCTAAAGTTTTGGACAAGATCTACTACGTATGGAATATTCTTACTACAATATTATAGTAAGAAATTATATCTCCAAGATCAAAGGCAGAGAATCACCAAGCTCTTTCAAGGAAGGAAGATTCAATATATACTGGTGCATTTATTGACAACACTTCAAATGGGAAGATCTCATTTTATGGATACACAATAATATTGGCTACTTCACAAGGAAAGAAATCAAATGAGCTTAAGGCATGGAGTCCAGAATATTAGCAAATTGGTAATATATTTGAGTCCATCAACAAGACACTTCATCAGGAAGTTAGGTTGGTATCTACTCAATCAAAGGAGAAAATATTCTGATTGAATAAATCAAGGGATCAGCAAGATCAAGCCCAACGTCAGAAGCCATTGAAGTCTATAAAAACGAGAGCCTAGGAAAGAAGAAGATACGCAACCTTCTATACAATTGTCTATCCAACTACAAGTTCTTTATTCTACTCTTAACAAGCATTGTAATTCACTTTAGTAGATTTACTGTGTACACAAAAGAGAGAAGAGAGACAGAAAAATTGGAGAGGCAGTGTGTCCGGAGAGGTTGTGTCATTGTTCGTTTCTTTGGTGAGCGAGTGAAAACCAAAGGGTCGTTGTTGGTGAGCGAGTGAAAACCAACCCTGTAAACGTTGGTGGTGAACGTTGAAAATCACACACGCTGTACTCAACACAAATTACAAAGAGCTCAAGAGATAACATCCTTG